TCGAGTCTCGTCGCCTGCGGGGCCCCGTTGGAACTGCGCGATGTTGCAGATCGGCCGCTCCGACGCTCGATGGGCGGGCAGCGCCGGGTTTCCGATGGGCAGCGACGCCCCGAGCTCTCGGCCGAAGGGGGGGGGGGCGCGCGAGGCCCCCCCCCCGCGTTTCAACCGGGTGGCGAGCTGGCGCCTCCAGCAGCGCAGTCGATTGGCGACGCGGGCATCTCTGATGGATTTGAGGGGCGAGTCCAAGCAGGCCAACGTTCCACTCCCGAACGTTGCTCGACCACAGCGCCCGCGCACGCCCTGTGCGCAGCCTGGTGGGGGGAGCTTCAGGATTTGCGCGCCGCGAACGACTGCGCCGCGGACGGCGCGAAGAGCGCCGTCGCCGCGCTCGAGGACTTCGTGGGCCACTTGTGTTTAGTGGGCTTCGATGGGCCCGTTCCCGGGAGGATGCGCGCCGCCCCCCGCCGAGGTCTTCCGCCAGGAAGCGCCGCGCGTGTTCCGCTTCCTTCTGGACTGGATCACCCCGCTCTGTCCGCTGTCCGAGGTCGCAGGCTGCCCCCGCCCCGCCTTTGTCCACGGCCTGAGAGGGGGTCGCTGGTTGAACGACGTGCACCCTGCCCGCCGCGGCGAGATGTCCCAGGCCGGGGCGCCCGGCGGGGCGCTGCGTTTCGTGTCGCCGTGTTTCCTCAGGCGGGGGCCCCCCCGTCGGGGGCGTTTGTGGAGGCAGGGGCCAGCCGGGACTTTCGACGTCAGCGAGCTGCGCGTCGGTCTGCAGTGGATTCGTTCCCAGCAGGAGCTGGGGCGTCATGTCGGCCAGCTGCGCCGTCCGTGGCAGATCTGCCACGCCTTGCCTCCCCGCGATGTCCTGGCGGGCGCGTGAGCTGCTCGCGCCTGGACAAATGGGAACGGCAGGAATAGGCGCCGCCGTCGGTGGGCCAAATGGCCGCGGCCAGTCCCGCCACCAGGAGGATCCAGTCTCGGGTGGTTCCTTTCTCAGTGGCGTGCTCGGACGTGCCCGGCGCCGGCGGGCCCTGGTGCTGCTCCAGGGGCTGCGCTGCGGCGCGCGCGGCACCCCTGACAGCGCAAGGGCCCCAGGTCCCCGGGGGGGTCGGCTGGGGCGCAGGGATCAGTCAGAAACCCGACCTCGCGCGCCACTCCTCGCGAGCATCGCCTCCGATTTCGAAGGGGGGGAACTCGTTTCGGGCCGAGGGGGGAAGTTTCTGCGGCGTGCTGGGTCGGGGGTGGTCTGCTCGGCGCGGGCCCGCGTGCGGGGCCGCCCTCCCCTGCCCCGCCCCCGCGATGATTCCGAACGCCCCTTGGGGTGCCCATGTCATGCGCGAGAATGTTGTAGAGGGGCTGTTTTTTGGGGAAGCCGTATGGTTGAGCTCTTGCTGGGGATCCTGCGCGAATTGCCCCCCAGCAGAGTAGTGGCCGCAATGGGGAACCATTTGGCGTCCAGGATCTGACTCCACCCCGGGCTTCTGAGGTTAATGAAGAATTTTCCTGGCCATCACGAAGTTTCTCTGGGTCAGTATGCCCATTGCACTCCCTGGAAAAACCCTGCAAGGCTTCTTGTGTGGCATTGCTGTGAGATTGCGTTGGGAAGTCAGCGGTGTGCGGGCCGTCGGGGTAAGTCGCATGGGTTCTGGCGAACCAGGAGGCCCCGGCAGTGTCCGAAGTTTTTTGTGAGGAGTTTCTCTCCGTTTTCTAAGGAAGCGTGTCGGGAAGAAACAACCAAGTTTCGGTCGCTCTTGGCCCCTGCCCCTTGCCAGAGCACTGCATCATCGCGGGATCGGGAGATTTGAATTGCGTTCGTGCTTCCATTATACGTTTTATTTTGGCTGTGTGCAACTGGCGTGCTCGGACCAGCGGCGAGCCTCACCCCACCGACACCTCCTCATAGGCATTGTTGCTGAAGTATGGTGGAGCCTGAAATGCGCAGATGTGTACATACGCAGAGGGGGAGGGAGAGCGAGAGAGAGAGAAGTAGTCAACACAAGAGAGGAGGGAGGAAGGAGGGATGCAGGTCGGTCTTATGCACGCGTGCCGTTTTCCTACGTGCACGCTCTCCGCGATGGGGAAGGAAGGAGTCAGGAGGGAAAGAAGCACACCGGCACAATTAATCGTCGACTCCAAGGAAAATATGGGAAAACATGGGAAGTGGGCGGGGGGAAGCCGAACATCCAGAAACTATGGACAAATATTGGGAATTCTGGGATCTGTGTGGTCGTGTATGTATTTGTGTGTCCCAGGGCCCCTTGAAGAAGGCCGCGCCGAGCCAGCCGCCCTTTCTTCAGGAGGGAGCAGAAGACACACAGACACAATGAATCGCCGATTCCCCAGACCATGTTGGAAAATATGGGAAGTGGGGGGGACGACAAGAACTCAGAAAACATCGGACAATGTGGGGATCCTGTTATTTTGTGTCTGTTTATTTGTGTGTCCCAGTGCCCCTTCACTTCTCCTGCTCGGCAGCGAAAGATCCGATTGCTACCCTCGCCGATCAACGACTCAGGCAGCTCGATGGGCGGTGGGCGCAGGGTTTGGGATTCGCTGGCCACGTTGTGAATTCGGAGCCGAACCTTCGCCCCCCCATCGATGTGGGAGAATCGTTGGTCGGCGGGGACAGGGCGTTCGGAGGTCTCCACCTGCTTACCCTCAGCGCCAGGACGGGCGTGGCCAGGAACGGGGACAGGGATGGCAGTGCCACTCTTCGGCTGACGCGCCTCCGTACTCGGGCGGTTATTGGCAGCATTCGGCCGCATCCGGGACATCATGCTGGACATGCAGAGCCTGGGCAGGCAGAGCGTGGTCCTGCTACGCCATCCTCCGTGTCCCTTCCCTCTTCTGGGCCATGATACTGCAACACCATCCCCACCCCTCCTTTCCTCTTACGCTCCTATCCCCCGTTGCCTCCTCCCCGCCCCATCTTCGATAATCCCTTCGTCCCTCCGCCCTGATCCCTCCTCCTCCGCCCGGATCCCTCCTCCCTCATCTTCTCCTCTTCTGCTGCTGCTGCTGCTGCTGCTTCTCGTACTCCTGCTTCCCCACTGCTATAGTTCCTAGGTTTCGCTTCCCCTCCTCATATTTTGTCCCTCCTTCCTCCCCACCTCTCCCTGCTACCCCCCCCCACTTTTCAATATTCACACCTCACTCGTCACTCCTTCCCCTCCGTCCTCAACCTTCACTCCCTTCACTCCTCGATCATCTCCTCTCCCTCCTTCCCTTCTCCTTTCTCTCAATTCCTCCTCTTCCTCCTATTCTTGCTCCTCCTCCTCCTCCCCCGTCCCTCCCTCCCTCCCTCCCTCCCTCCCTCTCCTCCCTCCCTCCCTCTCCTCCCTCCCTCCCTCTCCTCCCTCCCTCCCTCCCTCGTCCCCTTTCCCTCATCCCTCCGTCCCTCTCCTGCTTCCCTGCCTCCCCGCTGCCTTCCCCGCCCCCATCCGCCCCCCATCCTTCTTCCCTGCCCTCCTCCCTCGTCTCTGCTGGCCTCCCTACCCCCTCCCCCTCCCTCCTCCCCCGATCCTCCCACCTCATTCGCCACTGCTTCCCCCTTGCTCCGTCCTGTTTCCTCCTTCTTACTCTCCTTGTGCTCCTTTCTCATCCTCTCCCCTCTCTCCTTCGCCTGCTCATCCTTCTCCTCCTCCTCCTCCTCCTCCTCCTTATCTTTATCCTCCTCCTCCTCCTCCTCCTGCTTCCGCCTCCTCCTCCACCTCCTTCCTCCTCCTCCTTTTCCTTTTCCTCCTCCTCCTCCTCCTCCTCCTCCTCCTCCTCCTCCTCCTCCTCCCCTCCTCCCCCTCGCTGTCCTCCTCCCCCCTTCTCCTCCTCCTCCTCCTCCTTTTCCGTTTCCTCCTCCTCCTCCTCCTCCTCCTCCTCCTCCTCCTCCCCCCCTCCTCTCCCTCGCTCTCCTCCTCCCCCCTTCTCCTCCTCCTCTCCTCCTCCTTTTCCTTTTTTCCTCCTCTCCTCCTCCTCCTCCTCCTCCTCCTCCCCCTTCTCCTCGCTCTCCTCCTCCTCCTCCTCCTCCTCCTCCTCCTCTTCCTCCTCCTCCTCCTCCTCCTCCCTCCCCTTCCTCCTCCTGCTAGCTCACCCTCCCTCCTCCCTCAATCCTCTTCCTTCTCCTCCTTCTTCACTCCTTCCATTTCTCTCTGAGGTAGAAGAAAGGGCGGGGAGGTGTTCAAATGGAGTGGGGGGCGACGGTGGCGATTAGTGACGAGGGAGCGGAGGGAGAGCGGGGAGAGGGATAAACCTTATGGCTGTGATCAAACCCATCACTAACGTGATAAAACCGTGTGGCACAACGAATCTGGGCTTGGACTGCGCAGAGTCGGAAGCGGAGCTTCGGGAACTCCTTGCGCGGCGCTGCGGCGGAAATGCAGCTCAGCGCCCTTTCGGGCGGCCAGCTGTCCGACGAGCGCAGCGCAGACGAAGCTTGCCGACATTGCGCTGCCGCTTTCACGCGTAGACTTCGCAGCGCGCTTGGGCGAGGAGAGCACTCCGCGCGCTCTTCGCGGCCCTCGGTGCCGCTGCCTCTCTCACGGTCACGCGATTGTACGCCCGTCGGGCGTGCGCCGCGCCCACGCGGGAGTGCCGCTTCAAGGCGATGGCAGGCCAAGCGTGCACGGAACTCGGACGAGGGCGGCGAGTCGCCCGCTCGCGCGGAGGGCCCCCCCCAGGCTGGCGAGTGGCAGAAGTATGCGCCGCGCCGAGGCGGGAGCGCCACCTTTGCGGTGGCGATGCCTCCGCGGCGCCGAGGCGGGAGCGGCGGTTTTGTGCCCGCGCGCGCGTCAGCGAGTTAGCGCGCAGAAGTGTGAGCCGCGCCCGGGCTGGAAGTCCACTCTCGAGGAAACGGAGCGCGGAGCTGCAGCGGAATTCGACACTTCACCATGTGGCGCGCGACGTGCTCTCCGTTTCATTCCCGCCGCGCAGTTTGCACGTCGACGCCCAGACGTTTGTACTAAGCGTGAAGCGTCGGCGCTGCATACCTTGTGAACATGTAGGATGGGGCGTCCTGGGGTGGCTTGCTATCGCCGGCTAGGCTGCAAAGTGAAAGTTAACATTAATTCGGATGAATGGCGAGGGGGATGGGGGACAGGATAGCCAGTAGGGATGCGGTGTCGGAGGTGGGGCGTGGGGGACGGCGAAGGGGAGACGGGCCGAGGGAGGGAGGGTAATGGAGTCATGGGCGCCGCTCTCTGCCTGCCCGACTTCGTCATGAATGGCATCCACTCGATGCACCGCCGCATGGACGAGCTGTTCCACTCGGTGGGGATCGGGGTTCGGATAAGGTGAATCGTTGCAGTTCAAACTTAAACGAATGTTGAGGAGTGGGAGGAGGATGAGGAGGAGACGGAGGAGGCGGGATGACGATGCGGAGAAAGAGGATGAGGATCCGTAGGAGGGGGAAGAGTATATGCGCAGGAGGGAGAGAGAGTGTGAGGGATATAGGTGTATATAGTGGTACATGTACATGCATATAGCTATGCGTATAAGGAGAACAGCGGACATATAGGAAGAGCGATACCTACATACATGTGTATATATATATAGAGAGAGACATCGAGAGAGCAAGATAACGCGAGGGAGAGGGAGACAACGAGGCACATCTACGCAATAACATAAAGATACACAGACACATACTTATATCCGAGAGACAGATACAGACAGGAAGAGACAGACAGACAGACATGCAGCCAGAGACAGACAGACAGACAGAACGAGAGAGAGAGAGAGAAACAAACAACAGAGATGAGTATGACGAGGAGGAGGAGTAGGAGGAGGAGGAGGAGGAGGAGGAGGAGGGAGGGGTGACCTGGAGGAGGAGGAGAGGAGGTGAGGAGGAGGGGAGGAGGAGAGGAGGGGAGGAGGAGGAGGAGGGGGGGGAGGAGCAGGCGGAGGAGGAGGAGAAGGAGGAGGGGGAGGGGGAGGAGGAGGAGCAGCAGCAGGAGGAGGAGGAGCAGCGATGAGGAGGCGCCAGAAGTGGGGGGTGGCCATGCCGCCTGGCGATCATCAGGAGCGTCAGGGGCTGGCGCCCCCCGCTCCTGGGATGCTTTGCGGTTTCCCCGTTTTTCTATCTGCTGGAGGGGAGGGGGGATGTGGGTGACAGGGGGGGCGGGCGCTTGCCTCCTCCACACCTCCGCGGCGAGCGCTGGGCGTTGTCGCCTTGGAGCGCGACGGGCAAGTGTCCAGCGCGAGCGCAGCAGCACAGAAGGGGGAGGGTATCCTCCATCTTCCTCCCTTGTTCCTTACCCCGTCTTATCTTCTTACTCCTTCACCTCCTTGGTCCTTAGCATCTGAGGAGGTATGGCCAGCAGAAAGGTGAGGGTGTGGGGAGATGGGGGCGACGAGGGAAAAGGGGCAAAGTAGTTGCGCTGTCGCCATATCCAACGTTCTGACCCGCCAAACCCTTTTCAATGTGCTGAGAAGTTTCTTTCCGCCGACTGGGGTGTCCTAGTGGACCTTGGTCCTCAAATTGACGCCATCATGTGATTGCACATTGGTGGGCCAAGAGGCGTTCGAGCAGGAGACTCAGCAGGAGCATGAGGATGATGAGGAGCAGGGAGGAGGAGGAGCAGGAGAAGGAAGCGCATGATTATCTGCCGAAGACGGAGGAGGTGAAAGGAGGGGGATATCAACGACGAGTAACGAATTAGATCCAGAAGCATGGCCCGCGCTGAGGCGAGAGTGCCGTTCTGAACGAAGAGGCACAGCGCCGATGCCGAAATGTGACCAACTCTGCAGCGGGGGCATCACGTCTGTAACCCCCGAGAACGTCTTGAGATCCAGTGCGTGAGAATATTCGGGAGACAGGCGGCGGCACGGCTGGACATGAAGAGAGAATATAGGAGCACAGCATCCGCATTCCTCGAATAGTGGCTGCACGTATCGGGTCCTCTCTGGTGTCCTTCGTAGATGGCATGCGCTTCCGTTTTTTTCTTGCCGGTCGCTGCCCATGGTCGCCCGTCCATGGTCGCCCGTGGGCGCCTCGTGGACGCCACGTGTTCCAGCTGGCGTTTCGTGTTTCTTCGGCCAGTCGCCGTCCTTGGGCGCCGCGTGGGCGCCTCGTACGCCGGCTGGGCATCGCCTGCACAACATTGATTGACCTCATGGTTTGCACCACACACGTTGTACCACGTAGCACAGAGCTTGCACCACATAGCGTGCACCACATAGTTTGCACTACATAGGTTGCGCCACATAGCATGCACCACGTAGCTTACACCACACCACAGTGCTTCCATGGCACTGCTCCCGCCACGTAGCTCGCACATCCGTGTTGCGCAGACTCACTGTCTGGGGTCCACGCTGGCAAGCATTGCTTGTTTGTTGGTTTTAAGACGCGGGGCAATTGGGGCGACGGGGAAAGGCAGGGAAGAAGGGGGAGATGTGGGAGGATTGGGAGCACAAAGGGGAACGTTGAGGGACGAGGTGGAGGCTCAGGGAGGGAAGGAGGGAGGGAGGGACGGAAGGAGAAGTGGAATTCCACCCGCCGCCCCAGGGGGATAGACTGTCGCTGGTGAGCGTGGCTGCCATCGGATCATTGCGGCAGGAGATCCAGGCGTCATTTCCTGCTTCCTCTGCTGCGCCCGTGGTCGCCACTTCTTCATTGTTCGTGCCCCTGCTCCATCGCTTCCTTGCCCTCCTTCTCCTACGCTCTGGCTCTTCCTCTTCACGATCTCGTACCTTCTTCTGTTTCTGCTCTTACCGTTCTCGCTCTTCAGTGTCAGCCCTTAGCTATTGTTCATACCAGAGCGCACGCTTACTTGCTTTTCTGAAGTACTGACTTACGTCGCACGCATCCTACTATTAACCACGGCCGCTGTTCTATGTTACATACCCTGTGCATTGGCTTGTAGCCGGTAAGGCGGTTGAGGGTGATGGATTGCCCATCGAAAACACCCGCAGACTATCGCCCCCCCTGAGCCGATGTCCCCCCCAACATTATCTCTGATCCTCCTCCTCCTCCTTGGGCAGCGCGGGGATGGACTCCTCCGCCTCTGGCGAACAATTTGGGATTCTGGAGCCAGCGTTTTGGGGGAACCCGCCGCCTTTGATCGTCTTGGAGGCTTCCAGGAGGTCATCTTGGCCGTCTTTGGCGGCCACATTGGCTGTCTTGAAGACCACGATGGGGCCGTCTTGAGCGGGAATGTCGATGAGAGATGAATGTCAGGAATTTCTGGATGGCCAGCGGTTTGGCCCGAAGGCCAATGGGAATGATTTGAAAATAACCCACTCAGCGAACCAGCCTGGTACGCCAGGCACCCCTATGGCAAGCACCCGTTGTGGCCTTCAGGCCATCCCGCATCCGTCCGTGCGTGGGTTGTCGGCCAGGGTCCTATTGGATGCATCGTGGGGGCTCTTGGGATGCCACTGGGAATCTGCTTGGGTGCCCCTTGGGGCCTCCTCAGGCCCTCTTGGGTACCTTCTGGTCCTCTTTATGGGCCTCTCTGGGGCCTCTGGAGGCCTGGGGAGCCTTGGGGGCTCTGTTGGCCGTCTCGTGGGCCTAATTGTGCGGCAGGGCTCCAAGTGTAATTTTGGGTTTCCCATCGTGGGCCCTTCTTGGGGTTTTCTTTGAGGCTTCCTGGCCAGTCTTGAGTTCCTTGGAACGTCTGAGGGCACTCTTGAGGCATCTTGATGCCCTTTTGAGGGCCTCTTGGGCAGGCTTGGGCCGATCTCGTGGGCCTCTTGTGCCGTCTTGGATCTCCAGAGTCCTGAAACGGTGAGAGTACGACAATTCTTCAAACACGAAAAATGAAATGCCACTGATTTTTGCATGTTGGTGCTAAGGACCTCCTGCCCTCTCTTCCGTCCACCCCGCGCCCCCCCTCTCGAGTGGGTACGCCTCTCGTTGGGTCGAAGTTGCCGGGCTGCTGTCGGCCGCCCACTGGACCCCGCAGCTCCCTTCTAAAGAGGCTGCGCCCGCAGCCTCAAAATGCCACCTCGCCGGGATAACTATCCTCTCCATCCATCGATCTGTCCTCCTCTTCCATCGCTCTCTCCCGCCCTCCCGCCCTCCTCCCTCCCTCCCTCCCTCCCTCCCTCCTCCCTTCCTCCCTCCGTCCCTCCCTCGCTCCTTCCTCCTTCCCTCCGTCCCTCCCCTCCCCTCCCTCCGTGCGTCCGTCCGTCCCTCCCTCCCTCCCTCCCTCCCTCCTGAGGCCCCCCCCCCCGCTCCGCTGCCCGCTGCCCAGGGCATGCGCTCCCGCACGCAGGCGCTGCTCGCGCGCCCAGAGCTGGGCGTCGGCGACCAGGTGGAGGATCGCCGCCGCCGCGCGGCCTTCCCTCAGGAGGAGGGGGGGTGGGGTCGAGGGGGTGGGGAGGAGGAGGAGGAGGAGGAGGAGGAGGAGGAGGAGGAGGAAGAGGAGGAGGAGGAGGAGGAGGAGGAGGAGGAGGAGGAGGAGGAGGAGGAAGAAGACGAACAATCAGAAAACTACGAAGAAAAACAAGAAGAAGAAGAATAATAAAAATAATAAGAAGAAAAATAATAAGAATAATAATAATAAGAAGAATAATAATAAGAATAATAATACGAAGAATAATACTAAGAATAATAACACGAATAATACTAAAAAGAAGAATAATAATAATAATAAGAATAATAAGAATAAGAAGAATAATACGAATAATAATACTAATACTAAGAGTACTAAGAATAAGAATAATACTAATAAGAATAATAATAAGAATAATAAGAAGAAGACGAACAAGAAGAATACTACTAAGAATAATAATAAGAGGAGGAGGCGGAGGGGGAGGAGGAGGAGGAGGAGGAGGAGGAGGCGAGGAGAAGAAGGAGCGCGGGGGGGGAGGGAGGAGGAGGAGGAGGAGGGGAGAGGAGGGGAAGGAGGAGGAGGAGAGGAGTAGGAGTTAGGAGGAGGAGGAGGCAGGAGGAGGGGGGGGGGGGGTCGCATGGGGTCGAGGGGTCGAGGGGTGGGTGGTGGGGAGGAGGAGGAGAGGAGGAGGAGGAGGAGGAGGAGGGGAAGCGAGGACCACGAAGGAGGAAGCTCCAAGATGCTGATGGATGATGATGATGATGATGATGATGATGATGATGATGATGATGATGATGATGATGCTGATGATGATGATGATGCTTGATGATGATGATGATGACTGATGATGTGGATGATGATGATGATGATGATGCTGATGATGATGATGAATGATGATGATGAGTGATGATGATGATGATGATGATGATGAGGATGATGATGATGATGATGATGATTGATGATGATGATGATGATGATGAGGATGCTGATAATGATGATGATGATGAGGATGATGATGATGATGATGATGATGATGATGATGATGATTGATGATTATATGATGCTGATGATGATGATGATGATGATGATGATGATGATGATGAGATGATGAGGAGGAGGAGCGAGGAGGAGGAGGAGGAGGAGGATGTTGCAAGGGGGAGGGGAGGAGGAGGAGGAGGAGGAGGAGGAGGAGGAGGAGGAGGAGGGGAGGAGGAGGATGGAGGATGACGGGTAGAAGGGAGAAGTTTGAGGAGGGAGGGGGGAGGAGGCGGAGAGGAAGAAGAAGACGGAGGAGGAGGAGTGGAGGAGGAGGAGGAGGAGGAGGAGGAGGGGATGGGAAGAGGGAGGGAGGAGGAGGAGGCGAAATGAGGGGGAGGGGGAGGGATGGAGGCCGGCCAGGGGCTCGACTTTGTCCATCTCCCGTGCGCCTACTACGAGCCCTACGACGGGCGTGACGGAAGCGGTATTCGGGCTAAGTGGTGTGTTCACTTCGTGATCTATGTCTCGCGCGAGGTCTATTGCGCGCCGCCTTCTTGGGGCAGTTTGTGTCGGAGTGATGAATGTCAGCCCCGTGCAGACGTGGGTGGGGGGAGGGGGAGGGCTTCTCTGAAGCACCCCTACTTCTTTGAAGGCGCAGTCCTTATCTACTGATAGATGGAAGGCCGGTGCCTTCTATGAAACAGCCTCTTTCTGAGAGGCCCTCCCCCTGTCTCCGCCCCCTTGTGCAAGCCGCCAAGACGGGCGATTAGTTTTCAACGTGGGGCTGTTTCCGGACATTTTTAGAAATGCACGACTCTGCCTCTTCGCATCTTCTGTTTCAGAAGGACAGAGAAAGGTTCTTTTACAATAAGGGGTTTTCCCGTGGAACAAGGCGCGCTGTTCCTCTGGTGGAGGGGGGGCGCTTCCCATAGTTGTGCAGATCTTCAGGGGCTTACGCAGGGTGGGGGGCGGCTGCTTATGACGAGAGCATGCCATTATTACAGCATATGTGATGCACCTTGGGTATTGGGATTACTCTAGTCCTCTTCTTCCTTCTTCTCCTCTCGTCTTTCTCCTCTCCTTCCCTCCTCCTCCGGCCCTTCATCCCCATGTTGGTCCTATGTGCTCCAGCTTGTTATTCTCATTCTTCTCCTCTCCGTCGTTCTATCCTGCTGCTGCTCCTCCTCTTGTGCCTTTCGTCCGTCTCCCTCTCTTTTTATCATCATCATCATCATCATCATCATCATCATCATCATCATCATCATCATCATCATCATCATCATCATCATCATCATCATCATCATCATCATCATCCTCATCCTCATCCTCATCCTCCTCCCCCGCTCTCCTCCTACGTACCTCTGTTCCCCCCTCTGCCTCATTCTGTAGACTTCTCTTGCCTCCCCCATCCCTTCTCCCCGGTGTCGTCGTCGTCGTCGTCCTCCTCCTCCTCCTCCTCCTCCTCCTCGTTCTCTTCCTTCTCCTTGTCCTCCTTCCTCTTCTGCTTCTCCTCCTCCTACTCCTCCTCCTCCTCCTCCTCCTCCTGCTTGTCCGTTCCCTATTCGTTCTCAGTCAGTTCGCCAGTTGGAGTAGGGTTACGTTCCTCACCCGAGTCCCGAATCAAACATCCACTTCTTTCTCCTCCTCATCCTCCCCTTTAGAGGCGCTTTGGCGCTTTCGCCACCTGGGAGGGAGGGAGGGGGGAGGGAGGGGGGACTGGGAGGGAGGGAGGGAGGAGGAACTGTCTCAGGGGAGGGAGGGAAGGGGGACGGCGGGGGAGAGGAGGGGGGAGGGCGGGAGAAGGGAGGGGGGAGGGGGAGGGACGGGTAAGGGAGGGAGGAGGAGGAGGAGGAGGAGGAGGAGGAACTGTCTCAGACAGCCTTGTCTCAGACAGCCGGCCACCCCGGGGGGGGAGGGGCAGTAGAAGTGCGCGCCGGCTCCCAGTCATTATTGTGCTCGGGAGGCGGGAGAGGCCCGCGCGCGCCGGGAGGAGGAGGAGGAGGAAGAGGAGGAGGAGGAGGCGGAGGAGGAGGAGGCGGAGGAGGCGGAGGAGGAGGAGAAGGAGGAGGAGGCTTACGCTCCAGGTGTGTGTGTGTGTGTGTGTGCCTCGCAGCTTGCCTAAGAAGAAGGAGGAGGAGGACCATGATAAACCCAATATGCATCAACCGATGCTGCAGTAAACCCTCCCATCCCAAGTCCCTTCATCCTAAATCTATGCAAGCCTGAAGAGATAGCGCCTGCCCCTGCCCGCCGTATGTC